TCTGTGCATATCAAGACTCCAAACCAGTATCAAAATGTATGACTGTCTGATTTGAGTAGTGTTGGTTGAAAAATAAGTCAAAAGAGATTGTCAACATAAAACCAAACATACAGATATTGTCAGCCTTGAGTCAGTGGAGAGAATTCTCAATTTTGAGGCAAAGGGTCTTAAAACTGAACTTCTGCATAACATCTAGGCTGTTATTGTATTGCAGTACTGAGAGACTGCTGCATTTTCAGTGATGTTATCTTTGTAATGAGATGTTAACCCTTCACTTGCCTTTAATGAAAATAAAGCATTCCACATCATCATTTGAAGAACAGTAGGGGTGTAATCCAGGTATCCCATGCAACACTATCAAATATGGATGAGGTAATCATTTGTTTTAGTCTGTAGGTGTGAGGCTGGAAAAGTATAGTAGGTCAAACACCATCCGAGGAGCAGGTAAATCAATGTTTCGGGCCAAAGCCCTTCATCAGGACTTGGCCGGAAACATTGATTTACCTGCTCCTTGGATGCTGTATGACCTGCTGTGTTTTACCAGCCTCACAACTATAGACTCTGGCTTCCAGCATCTACAGTCCTTACTGTCTCCAAATCATTTGTTTTAGCACAGCTTGTGGCACCTTTCAGTGATGTGGAGGTGCCTTGCAGTGTGTAAATTGCCTTTTACATTTTTAAACAATAATTGTATTTCAGACTTAATTCATTGACTCTAAAGTACTTTGTGATATAGAATAAAATAACCATAGAGTGGTTATAGGGTAGAAGGAGACCATTTGACTGATCAATACCCAGGGATAGCAGAATCCTAGCTCGATGTTGGTTGTTGACTTGCTTGCCGAGCTGACTGGATGTTAAATATTCCTGGTTACAGGGTATTCAGAAATGATAGGAATGAGAAAAAATGAGGAAGAGTGGTGTTTATGGTTAAGGAGAGCATCACAGTAGTGGAGAAAAAGGATGATACATAGGGTAGAGGAAAGAATTGATTTGGTTAGAGCTAAGGAGTAAAAAGGGCGTAATTACATTACTTATTGTTATCTTTAAATCTTTAAATGATGTAGTGGACCGAATCTGCAGTGAAAGTACAGAGAGATGTAAACATCATACAGTAGTTACCGTGGGGTTTTAGTTGCCCATATGTAGAATATGATAATTGTATTGTAAGGGGCAGCGAGGTGGTGGGCGTTCTTAGATTGTGTTCAGGAGAATTTCCTATAGCAGTATGTGTCCACTTCAATAAGTAAGGAGGTACTGCTAGATCTGGTTCTTGGGAATGATGTGGCTAAGGTAGATCAATTGACAGTGGGAGAATGTTGAGGGACAGTGATCATTGTATCTTAACATTGAAGATGATGGTGGGAGATAACGTTGGTCAATCCAGAGTAAGAATAATCAGTTGCCGGAAAGCTACAGCAGTTGGTGGAACTGGAATTTAGGTAATAAATTTGGAACTAAAAGCTAATGGTGAACATGAAACAATGACAATAAAAACCATCTGGTTCTCTAATGTCAACGACAGTTAAACTATTTCCTCTTAGTTCTGTTTCTGTTTAGCTTTGATTTCATTTTATCTGAGACAGACCTTTCTAAGCCCTTTAAAATTGGCACTCCCACAAATAATTAATTCACTTCCTATTTGTCCTTTTCCACAGCTAATCTAAATTTTATAATAGGATCCCAAACACATAAACAAAAGCGCTATACTCTCAGATACAATCCTGACTTTGTCATCAAGCCTGCCGACAAGGATGGTGCTGTTTGTTGTGTGGCATACTGACCTCTATACTGCAAAGGCTGAGCGCCAGTTCTTGGACACCTCCTATTTTTCCTAGATATGACTGCACCATCAAACATCAGACTATTGTGTCCATAACAGTCACTAACATAATTTTGTCTGGGACCTCCTCCCCACAGTCTCCCAGCATGTAATCCCCCAACCCATACAGTTCACTTCTACCTTATTTCCCAAATCCACAAACAGGGCTGCCCAGGCAGTCCCATTGTTTGTGCCATTATTTTCTCCCATTGTCCTGTCTCTTCCCACTTACACCCGTGAATGTTCTGACACTTTACATCAGGTTTCAGAATTTCCAGTTTCTTGGTACCAGCTGCTTCCTTTTAACTTTGGACGTGCAGCCCCTTTACATGTCAATCCCACATCAGGATGGTCTTACATTTCTCCACTTCTTCCTGGAAAGAAGGCCTGAACAGACCTCATCCACCACCACCCTCCTCTGCCTGGTTGAGCTCATTCTCACTCTGAACAACTTCTCCTTTAACTCCTCTCACTTTCTTCAGATCAAAGGTGTGGCCATGGGAACCCATGTAGACTGAAGTTATGCCTGCTTCTTTGTGGAGTATTTGGAACATTCCTTGTTCCAGTCCTATTTGGGTCCCTATCCATTACTCTTTCACTGGTACATTGATGACATCATTGGTGCTGCTTCCCTCTCTTGTCCAGAATGGAAATATTTCTAATTTACATTCTGCTGTCACCTTCACCTGGTCCATCTCTGACTTCTCATGTCCCTTCCACAACATTTCTGTTTCCATTTCTGTAGTTAAGCTGGCCATCAATATCCATTACAATCTCACTGACTCCCACAGTTACCTCAAATGTACATCGTCACACCCTGCTTCCTGTAAGGACTTCATTACACTCTCCAAGTTTTTCTGTCTTTGCTGCATGTGCTCTGATGATATCACCTTCTGCAGATGGGTTGCAGAAAGTTCACTTTTTTCCTGAACAGAAGATTCCCCACTACTGTGGTTGACAGGATCCTTAGCTGTGTCTGGCCTGTTTCCTACACTTCCGCCCTCACCCCTTCTCATCCTTTCCATGACAATGACAGCATCCCCCAGTCATGACTTCCCAGCCCACTGACCTCCATATCCAAAGGCTTGTAAGACACATTTAGGCCACCTCCAGCAGGATTCCACTGCCAGACACATCTTTCCTTCTGCTTCCTCGTCAGAATTGCACAGGAACCGTTTCCTCTGGGGCATCCTGGTCCACTCCTCCACCACTCCCAACATCTCCCCACAGCCATGACATCCTAGTATGGCAGCACAGTGCAACACTTGCCCATTTACCTCCTCCATCCTCACTAGCTAAAGCCCCAACACACCTCCTAATTGAGGCAGCAATTTATCTGCACCTCTGTCAATCTCGTTTACTCTATTCACTGCTTATAATGCAGTCTCCTGTAGTTTGGAGAGACAAAGCACAAACTGGGTGACCAGTTTGGGGAATACCTACATTTTATCCATAAAAATGACCATGAGCTTCCAGTTACCTGCCACGTCAACATACCACCGTGTTGCCTAGCCAACATTTCTGTCTCAGGCCTACTGCAGCATTCCAGTAAGGCTCAACACAAGCTGGAGGAACAACTCCTCATGTTCCGTTTGGGGGACGTTATAGCCTTTAGGACTCAACATTGAGTTTAACAATTTTAGAGCCTGATCACCTCCTTTTATGTCTATTACCCACCCTCACAGCCGATGTTCTCTCATGAAATGGGTTGCTTTCAGCACAGACAACCAATTGTCACTCACTCATAGCCTCCATTATCACCTATCTAGCCTGTGTACCTCCCTGGTTTACTATCAACAATCCTTTTTTACCTTTCTTTCTCTGGGCTCTGTCTCTATCCACCATCCACTTTTCTTTTCCCTTACCCTCTGTCATTTGCATAAATACCACCTTTTTCTAGCTGCTATCAGTTATGAAGAAGTGTCACTATTATTTACTATTTTCTGCCACACCTGCTGAATTTCTCCAGCAATTTCTGTTTTTGCTTGTTTCAGATCTTCGGGCATTTGCAGTTCTTTGTTTTATTAATCACATATACATAAACTTTATAATATGATCACTGTCTGCAAATTGTTTTCCAACTGACAGTTGCTCCACTTCATCCATGTGGTTCCCCAGAAACTGATCCAGCAATGCCTCCTTCTTCTTTGGACCAAATTTTGAAGGTCTTATGTAAATGGAAGTTCTTCCTTCGTTCTACCAGTTGAAATCAATAATCTATAAAAATTGATCTGTCTTTTGTGAATTGCATGGTAACAGATAAGAAATCTTTTGCCGGTTTTTCTTCCATACCAATAGTTATTCAAGACAGAGAAATAAAACATATAAATGGTGGAGTATAGAGGGGAGTAGGCAAATGGAAAGGGAGGTGAAAGGAAGGAGGTTAAGTTTTGTTGATTACAATAAAGATGATTGATATTGGAGAAGATGATCTGTCAGTATTAAACATGAAAGATAAACAGACACGTTTAGTTTGACATCTGAACAAGAAACATATATTGATGAATCGAGTGGAGCCCTTCACTGGCTGGAGAAGCTGCTATAATATTACTATTAAACATGTATCTGACAGTTTATTCTTTGATGCTGTTTTTGTATATACAATTATTCCAGCTTGAAAAATATCTTCCAATATCTTAAATGCTTTCATATTTATTGAAATTCTCATTGCACGCATTTGTTGCCTCTGAACTTAATAACTGAGGCACTGTGCTTTATAATGTCATTCTAAACCTACTATATCTCCTGCCTCTCTTCCTTTAAGATCATCCTTTAAATTCATTTTTTGACCAAGATTTTAATTACAACGCGTAATTTTTTCTGTTGCTTTACATTACTGTGAACCATCCAAGAATATTTTGTCTACATCAGAAGTACATTATATCTACAGGTTGTTGTTGCAGCGCAATAGAAATTTGGATTCTCAAAGAGCACATGTCACAGGATTCAATCAATACTTACAGAAACTACTACAGCTGTTCAAAAAGTAAATGTTGAAGTAATTGTACAGAAAGAGTTCTATCTTGAAATCAAGGATAGTGCAAACTTAGTTGTATTTTATCCTGCTTATAAAAATTACTGCTCAATGCTGCAGTGCATTATCAGATCTTCTGCTCACATACAAGATTCTTTTGAAATATAAATGCCTGAAGTATGTTTTTTCTCTCTCATTCAACAGGAGGAAACAAATTGAAGAGTCAATCATTCCGTCTGAACTGGGCTTGGATTTCCTTAGAGAGAGAATATTACCTAGTGGATGAGGACTCCAGGTTTCTAGAAGTGACATTGAAACGAAGAGGCTACTTAGGAGAAACATCCTTCATTGGTAAGCTTCCGCTTTCTATTTATTTCTTTCTCACTCCGTTTAATGTAGCCACCTCAAACATTTTGGTGTTCACTGAGAGTTAAGTGACTGATCCAAAGCATATCTTAATAATGTTACAATTGAAAAGAAGCTATGAATAGTTGTATTTAAAAGTTGTATTTAGATAACCACTTTGCCTCCCAAGAAGCATTGGGAGGATACATTATTGAAAATATTTGATTCTTGATGGGATAGATATGGAGATGCTGTTACCCTTTGTTAAAAAATCTAGGACCAGAGGGCATAATGTCAGAATAAGAAGTTGCCCATTTAAGACAGAAAATCTGTAGAATTATATACTGCAGAGGGCTATCAAGGCTGGGTTGTTAAGTATATTCAAGGCTGAGATAGACTGATTAAGGAATCGAGGAAAGGCAGGAAAGTGGATTTGAGAGTTATCAAATCAGCCATGATTTAATTGAATGGCAAAGTGGACGTGATGGGTTGAAAGGCATACTTCTGCTTCTATGCCCTATGGTCATAGGGTCATTCTGAGAGTCCTAATTAGTAATCTTGAAGCCTGTTTGCATAAAAAATCGTACTTTACAAATATTTTCCAAAGAACGGCATCAGTGGTCCCCTATAGGCCATTTTTGTAGTAGGTCACCTTCCAGAAGGAGAATATAAAATTGCTGTGGTGGAAGGTGACAAAAGGAAACATTTTGTAACTTGAAAACAAAGAATCTTGTTCAGGTCCATTGCTAGAGTCCAGTTGTGTTCAGGAAATATCATTTTTGGAAGGACCTTGCTTCTGATTATAAATTAATGCTCATTGGTAACAGTATTTTAAGTTAATTTATATTAATTGAAGGTCAGATTTATTTTGTACCTTATAAACAGAACCACAAAGATGACCATAAGACCATAAGAAATAGGAGTAGATTTAAGCCATTCAGCCCAATGGGTCTGCTTTGCCATTTGATCATGGCTGATATGCTTCTCAACCCCATTCTCCTGCCTTCTTTCCATAGCCCTTGATTCCCTTACTAATTAAGAACCTATCTATCCCTGTCTTAAGTGCACTCAATGACTTGGCCTTGACAGCCTTCTGGGGCAATGAGTTCCACAGATTCACCACTGTATGGCTGAAGAAATTCCTTCTCATGTCAGTTCTAAAAGGTCATCCCTTCACTCTGAAGCTGTGCTCGCGCATCCTCTCCGACTAGCAGAAACATTATTCTCCACATTCACTCTATCCAGGCCTCTCAGTGTTCTTTAAGTTTCAATGAAATCCTCCCTCATTCTTCTAAACTCCATTAATTACAGACCTAGAGTCTTCAGCCACTCCTGATATGACATTCCCTTAATCCCGGAATCATTCTTGTAAGCCTCCTCTTGACCTGTCCAACACCAGCACATCCATCCTTACATACGAGGGCGCGGAACTGCTCATAATGTTCCAAATATGGTCTGACCAGAGCCTTAAAGAGCCTCAGCAGTACATCTAGCCCACTTGAAATGAATGCTAACATTGCATTTGCCTTCCTAACTGCCTTCTGAATCTACATGTTACCTTAAGAGAATCCTGAATTAGGAGTCAAAGTCCCTTTCTGCTTCAGAAAAATTTCTGAAGCCTTTCCCCATTTAGAAAATAATTTATGCCTTTATTCTTTCAACCTAACTGCATAACCTCAAATTTCCCGCATTGTATTCCACCTGCCACTTCTTTGCCCACTCTCCTAACCTGTCCAAGTTCTTCTGCAGTCCTTCTACTTCCCTCCTAACTGTCCCTCCACAAACTTTTGTATCATCTGCAAACCTAGCAACAATTCCCTCAGTTCCTTCATCCAAGTTGTTAATATATAACCTAAATAGTTATGGACCCAACACTAACCCTTGTGGAACTCCACTAGTCACTGGCTGCCAAACTGAAAAGACCCTTTTATCCCCACCTCTTGCTTTCTGCCATTCAGCTAATCTTCTATCCATATCAGTACCTTGCTCCCTAACACTATGAGTTCTTAATTTGCAGGCTCCTGTGCAGTACCTTGTTTAAGGCCTTCTGGGAATCCAAATAAATTGTGGCTGGCTCTCCTTTGTCTAACATGATTGTTACCTTCTCAAAGAATTCCAATAGACCTGTCAGGCATGACTCAGTCCTATTTTACCATACACTTCCAAGTACTCCGCAATCACATCCTTATCAATGGTCTCTAAAATTTTATCAATGATTGAGGTCAGGCTAACCTGCTCATAACTTCCTTTCTTCTGCCTCCCTCCCTTTTTAAACAGGGTGTTACATTTGCCATTTTCCAGTCCTCTGGAATCCTCCCTGACTCCAGGACTTCCCAAAAGATCATCACCAATGCCCCCATAATCTCCTCAGCTTTTTTCTTCAGTACCCTGGGATGTAGTCCATCTGGTCTGGATATAGACCTTTCAGCTTCCTCAGCATTCACATCATGATGGCCATGACACTCATCTCTGTCCTGACTCTCTTGAAGATCTGGTATGCTACTAGTGTCTTCCACCATGAAGAGTGATACAAAGTATCTATTCAGTTCCTGCACCATTTATTTGTTCCTCATTACTATTCTCCAGCCTCAGTTTCCAGCAATCCAATGTCCACTCTGTTATCTTTTATATATCTCAAAAGTACTCTTGCAATCTTCTTTTATATTACCAGTTAGCTTACCCTCACATTTCTTCTTCCCCCCACTGAATTTTCAATTATCCTCTGCTAGTTTTTAAAGGCTTCCCAATCCTAATCTACAGCACAGTGTGCTTTTTCTTATGCTTTTATGCTATCCCTGACTTCCCTTGTCAGCCACGGTTGCCTTGTCCTCCTTTTAGTATATTTCTTCTTCCTGGCAGTACTCCCAAATTATCTCAGTCCTTGTACTGCACTGTCTTGCTCAGCTCCCCTTCCAATCAACTCTGGCCAGCTCCTTCCTCAAGTCCTTGTAATTATCTTTACTCAGTTGGAAAGGTCTAGGCCCGAAACATCAGCTTTCCTGCTCCTCTGATGCTGCTTGGCCTGCTTGTTATCTCAGATTCTCCAGCATCTGCAGTTCCTACTATCTCTAGAATACCATATCATCTGATTTAAGCTTCTCCTTCTCAAACTACCAGGTGAATTCTATCATATTATGGTCACTGCCCCAAAAGGTTTCGTCACATTGAGTTCCCTAATCAAATCTGCTTCATAACCCGTCACCAAATCCAGAATTTTCTGATCCCTAGTGGGCTCTTCCACAAGCTGCTCCAAAAAATAAATCTCATAGACATTCCACAAATTCCTTTTCTTGGGATCCACTACCAACTTAATTTTCCCAGTCCACTTGCATATTGAAGTTCTTCATGATCATTGTATTAGTGCCTTTCTTACATGCCTTTTCTATCTCCTGATTTATTATCAGCCACACATCCTGACTATTGGACTTGGAGTCATGTGAAGAACAGCTAGGTTTTATTGAGACATTGTCCCAAATTACTCTGACATGCCACAGACTAAGGCTAGAAAATTGTTTTCCAACCCATGTTTATTCGCCTTAATCATTTTGCACTCATTTTCATGATAGAATTGTTGAAAACATCACTAGGTGTCAGTGACTATAATTGTACATTAAATCGAAGGAGAGAACGGTGGATCCAGGATGGTATTTTAAACTTAAAGGCAATAATAAGGGCATGAAACCAGAGCTAGCTAAAGTGAACTGCAAATTAGGTTAAGGGATAAATCATTAGAGATGTAGCAGTAAACATTTAAGGGGATATATCAGATCTCACAGAATACAGTCTAATGAGAAAGAAAAATTCCAAGGGGAGTACCAAAAATCCATGATTAACTCAAAATCTTAAATATTTTGTCTAACTTAAGGAAAAAGCATATAATTGAACTAAAATTGTTGGCAGATCAGAAAATCGGTTAGAATATAAAAATCAAAAAAAAGCATATTTAAAGTTTGAGCAGAAACATAGCAATATAAAAAGTCTGTAAAAGTTTGTCAATGTATTTTGAGAAGAAATATGTTAACAAAGTGGAGAGTGAGTCCAGAGAATTAATAACAGGAAATAAGGATGTGGCCAATGGATTGAACAGATATTTGCATTGTTCTTTGCTATAGAGGTTATAATTAAGATCATAGAATCCCAACAATGCAGATAGAGGCCTTTTAGCCCATGCTGACCCTCCAAAGAGCAAGCCACCCTATCTCCATAACCCAGCATTTACCATCATTAATCCACTTTGCCCACACACTACACTGCAATATAGCATGATCAATCCACAATCCACCTAACCTGCACATCTTTGAACTGCGGCAGGAAACCAGAGCACCCAGAGGACACCCATGCAGATATAGGGAGAACATGTAAACCCTACACAGACAGTCACTCAAGGAATCAAACCTGGGCCCCTGTGAGGTAACAGTAGTATCACTAAGCCAACGGGTGGCACGGTGGCTCAGTGGTTAGTACTGCTGCCTCACGGCTCCAGGGACCCGGGTTCGATTCTATCCTCGGGTGTCTGTCTGTGTGGAGTTTGCACATTCTTCCTGTGTCTGCGTGGGTTTTCTCTGGGTGCTCTGGTTTCGTCCCACAGTCCAAAGATGTGCAGGTTAGGTGGATTGTCCATGCTAAATTGCCCATAGTGTTCAAGGATGTGTAGTTCAGATGGATTATAGGGGGATGGGTCTGGGTGGGATGCTCTGTGGGTCAGTGTGGACTTGTTGGGCCAAAGGGCCTGTTTCCACACTGTAGGGATTCTATGCCATCATCATTCTGGAAAAACTATAAATCAGGAAATGGGAGAGAGGAAATAACTCAAAAATTATAATCACCAGATAAGTGGTACCGAGCAAGTTGTTGACACTGCAGACTGATAAGTCATTGTGTCCTGTTGGACTTCACTCATAAATGAATAACTTGTGAGATTGTTGACACATTAATTTAAATTTTCAAAATTCCCTCAATTTGAGAAAGGTTCCATCAAATCGGAAAATAGTGATTGTAACTCTTGTATTCAAAAAGAGAGGGAGAGAGAAATCAGGTAACTACAGGCCAGTTATTGTAACGTATTTCAGAGAAAAGATGTTTGTAGCTATTATTAAAGATGTTATAGAAGGGCAATTACAAAATTTAAGATAATCAGGCAGAAGCAAAATGCTTTTGTGGAAGGGAAGTCATTTTATCCAATTTTTTAGAGTTCTTTGAGTAAGTGATATGCTATTCAGAAAAGGTGTGGATGTACTGCACTTAGATTTCCAGATGGCCTTTGATAAGGTGTAATATCAAAGGTTATTTTGGAAAATAAAAGCTCACGTAGTGGGGGATGTAATATTGGCATGGAAAGAGGTTTGGCTAGCTAACAGGAGTCAGAAAGTATGCATAAATAGATCTTTTTTTTGGCAGGCAAGGTGTAATAAGTGGTATGTCACAGGGCTGGTGCAGGGGCTTCAATCATTTACAATTCACAGAAAGACTTGAATGAAGGGATGAAATGTACAGTTGCTATATTTGCTGATGACATGGAGATAGGTAGGAAAATAAGTTGCCAAGAGGACATGAGGAGCCTATGCAGAGATAAAGATAAGTTGCGAGAGTCAAAGATCTGATAAATGAATTGAAATGCGTAAATTTGTCCCTTTTGATACGAGGAATATAAAAAAAAAATCTAAATGGTGGAAGGCTGGTAACTGATCTGGTGTTCCAGTACATGATTGACAAAGAGTAAATATGAAGTTAAAGTTAGTAATTATGATATCTAATAAAATGTTTCGAAGAATAAAAGTTTAGAAGAATACACAGTGACTTGATTGAAGCATATAAGATCCTGAGGGCAAGATAAGCTATATAAGATCTTGACAGAGTGAATGTTTCCTCTTGTGGGAGAATCTGGAACTTGAGGTGAAAGATTATTAGAGGTAGACAGAACAGTGGAGTACTCAGATTAGAGATAGTATTATTGAATGGCAGTCAGGCTTGAGGGGCAGAATGGCTTATTCCTGTTCCTAACTTGTATGTTTTGTTTGAGAAGACAGGAAGAAGGCAATGAACTTTAATTTCTGTCTGTTAGCTAGGCATCATTTTGGTGATGTGAGTTACCAATCTGCTTAACCTCATAGTGGTTAGGAATGCCATTAAAAATTCCATAGGATTCCTACAGTGTGGAAACAGGCCATTTGGTCCAACAAGTTCACATTGATGCTCCAAACAGCATCCCACCCAGACTCATCCACCTACCCTTTCTCTGTAACCCTACATTTCCCATGGCTAACATACCTAACCTGCGCACTGTGGGGCAATTTAGCATGGCCAATCCATCTAACTTGCACATCTTTGGACTGTGGGAGGAAATCAGAGCACCTAGCGGAAACCCATACAGACCTGGGAGAATGTACAAACTCCACACAGACAGAAACCTGAAGGTGGAATTGAACCTGGGTCCCTGGTGCTGTGAGGCAATAGTGCTAACCATTGAGCCACTGTGCTGCCTTTTTCTTCTCATTCTTCTCCTCCAACTTCCCATCCTCCTTTCCCTCCCCCTCCATTCTCACCTCATCCTTACATATCACCTTTGCCCGTGCAGAGAGGCCGGACCTCTATTTCCGATTGGGCAAGATGCAAGTCGTTATCCACCTTAGCCAAAATAGAAACCTTGTCTTATTAATAGCAATCTAATTAACAGCTGTTCAGCCAACTGACCCTACATTTTTACAAGTATGTGTAGTCTGGAGATCTGAAGAATGATAGTAGAGACTCCAATCTTCTTTACATCACTAGACTGACTGGGAATCTCACCCAGTCTTACTAGCTGCCATTGGCGCATGTTGTAAATAATTATAAGTTAAACCTTGACCAATTTGGCCGCATTTTAAACATCTACTTGCCTGTTAATTCTGGTGTGAGATCTGTACTCAGAGGCAGGGATACTCCCTACTGTGCCAGAAGACCTCCAACAATTCAGCTTCTAACACTTAAGAGCACAGAAATTGACTTTTTCAGGGCATGGAAACTAAAATTGTAGTAAAAACAAAGCTGCATAATAAAGGACCACAATAGATTTATTTTTGCACTTTTTTCCCTAGGTATTGCCACCAAGGACGGCAGTGCTGAAAAAGATAAGGATTTCAAAGGGAAGTCCCAGAAACAGGTCCAATTCAATCCAGGCCAGTCCACTGCTGCCTGGAGAGTGAAAATACTTGCTGATAATGAATATGAGACTTCTGAAACATTCCAGATTATTCTTTCTGACCCTGTCATGGCTGCTTTGGAATTCCCAGAGGTTGCTACAGTTGAGATTGTTGATCCTGGTGACGGTAAGTCCAGCATAAATGTCAAACTGTCAATTGAATGTGAAGTTGAGGGATTTGCTGAGTACTGTTACTGCAGTGAATGCCCCAATGAGTCACTGAGGAAGACACAGTGGCAGTATCTACAATGAAGACATTGTGAACATGACGAACCTGTAGAGAAAGGGTAAATGCTTGAAAAAAGGGTGTAAGAAGACAAAAGAAATAAGTGTAAGACCCCTGCAGAGTTAAAAATTTTGTTCTCACCTGCTATGCTCTGCATAACCTTATCTTTAATATGCACTAAAACAATTTCACTAGGGGAGTGTTTGATACAGACTCAGCATATGTTTGAATGTCACTAACAGTTCCATTATAAAGATGATAATCTGTTAATATCTTACTCTGCGATTAAGTGTCAAATACATTCACACTGTACGAGTGCTCAATGCAGTCTCATATTATGAGGCTGTGTCTGCTACAGGTTCAGTTTGCAAACGAATGTTTGATGCAGTCTGTTTGTGAGTCAGTGTTTAATATGCTGTCGGAAGAAGGGTCTGAAGAAGGGTCTAGGCCCGAAACGTCAGCTTTCCTGCTCCTCTGATGCTGCTTGGCCTGCTGTGTTCATCCAGCTCTACACCTTGTTATCTCAGATTCTCCAGCGTCTGCAGTTCCTACTATCTCTTTAATATGCTGTCACTGAGTGACTGTCAGACATAGTCTCTGTGAGGGCTGAATGCAATCTCTGTGCGTGTTTGATGCTGTCTCAGTGAGTCTGTGAAGCATTCTTAGTGTGTACAACCATGGTTGACCAGTGAAATAAGAGCGAGCATCAGATTGAAAGAAAAAATATACAATGTGACACAGATGAAAACCAACAAAAGACACTGGGCAAAATAATAGAGGGAGAAGATAAACTTTGAGAATAAAACAGAAAATAATATCAAGAAAGCCAGCAAGAGCTTCCTTAAATATTTAAAAAAGAAGACAGAGGCCTAAGTTAACAACTTTCACTGGAGAAAAAGTGCTAGGGAAATTAATGGGAGATAGTAGGAACTGCACTTGCTGGAGAATCCGAGACAACAAGATGCAGAGCTGGATGAACACAGCAGGCCAAGTAGCATCATAGGAGCAGATGAAGGGTCTAGGCCCGAAACATCAGCCTTTCTGCTCCTATGATGCTGCTTGGCCTGCTGTGTTCATCCAGCTCTGCACCTTGTTGTCAGGGAAATTAATGGGCCTGATTGGGTTCATCCTAGCATACTGAAGAAAACACCAACAGACTGGATGTACTGGTATTAATCTTCCAGGAATCTTTAGATTCATAAAGGTCCCAGAGGTTTAGAAAACTGACAATGTAAAACTTTTATTTAAAAAGGAAAAGGGACAAAAAACATGTAACTATAGATTAGTTAGCTTAGCATTTAATAGCAAAGCATTTGAAAATAAATAATATGATCAAGCAGAGTCATGAAGGGGAAATCATGCCTGACAAATATATTTGAGTTCCTTGAGGAAGTAAGAAACAGGATAGATAAAAAGGAAACAGTGGATGTAATACATTTGGATTTTCAGAAAGCATTTGTAAGGTTCTACATGTTAGTCTACAAAGATAACTGATGGTGGTTTAACCTGAGGATCACCATGCCTCAGACAAGGGGCATTCTCCTAAGAAAGCAGAATCTTTATGATATCTCACGTGATGTGGGATTTGAACCTATGCAATTGGCATTACTTCATAATGCAAAGCAGCCATCTAACCAACTGAGCTGACCAAATAGGAGATTGGCTAGCTTACTAGAAGACACAAGATGTGGGACAACAGGGGCATTTTCAGGATGTCAACCTGTGACTAGTGGAATGCCTAAGGGATCATTACTAGGGGCCACAATTATCTAAATAACATATGAATGGTTTGGATAAGGAAAATGAATGTACTATAGCCACATCTTTGAATAACACTAAAATAGTTGTAAAGGCAAAAGTGGTGACGAAGGCACAGAGAATGCAGAGCGATATAAATAGGTTAAGTGAATGGGCAATAGAGGAGACTGCATATTATTTAAATGGAGAAAGACTGCTGAAAGGTACAGAACAGCGGAATTTGTGAGTCATCATGCATAAATTAGAAAAAGCTAGCATGCAAATTCAGCAGGTAATGGGGAAGACAAATGGGATTTTGGCTTTTATTTCAAATGAAATAGAGTACAAAGATAGGGAGTTCTTGCTAAAACCATGCAAAGCACTAGTCAAACTACAGCTGGAATATTGTGAACAGTTTTGGGTCCTTTTTCAAAGGAAAGATATACTGGCATTGGAGGTAGTCCAAAGAAGATTCACTGGGCTGATCCTGGGTATGGAGGGATTGTCTTATGAGGAGAGATTAGATAGAATGGGCCTGTATTCAACGGAGTTTAGAAGAATGAGATATGACCTTATTAAAACATGTACGATTCTTAGGGGAGCTAGTAGAGTAGATGCAGAAAGATTGTTTCCCTTTGTGGGAGACTGTAGGACCAGAGGGCACAATCACAAAATAAGGATTGCCCATTTAAGACAGAGATGAAGAGGAATTTCTTCTCTCAGAGGGTTGTGAGCTGTTGAGGCTGGGTCATTAAGTGAATTCAAGGCTGAGACAGACAGGTTTTTAATCAGTAAGGGAATTAAGGGTTATAGGGAAAGGGCAGGAAAGTGGAGTTAGAGATTATCAGTACTCGCTGAGCCCATTAAAAGGTGGGGCAGTTTTAATGGGCTGAATGGCCTATTTCTGTGCTTATATTTTATAGTCTTATGGACTTAGTCCCATTAGAACATAGGAATAAGATGAAGCCATTCAATACGTTAATCCTGCTCTGCCTTTAATACAATCATGTTTGGGATGATTGAACATTTTAATGCCTTTTACCCACACTCTCCTCATAATTATTACAGCATTGATGATCAAACAAATTTTATCAACCTCTAGAGTCATAGAGTCATACAGCAGGGAAACTGACCCTTCGGTCCAACCAGTCCAAACATTATCCGAAACTAAACTAGTCCCACCTGTATTCTCCTGGCCCATATCCCTCCAAATATTTCCTATTCAAATATCTATCCAAATATTTTTTAAATGTTGTAATTGTAACCGCATCCACCATGCTCAGGAAGTTCTCCTCATCCTCAGGAAGTTCATCCCAAAAGCGAACCCATCCTCTGTGTCAAAAAATTGCCTCTCATGTCTTTTTTAAATCTCTCTCCCCTCACCTTAAAAATGTGTCCCCTAGTCTTGAAATCTCCCATCCTAGGGAGAAGCCAAATACCATTAACTCTCTTTATACCTTTCATTATTTTATAAACCTCTATCAGGTCGCCTGCCAACCTCCAAAGCTCCAGTGAAAAAAGTCCCAGCCGATCCAGCCTTCGCTTATAACTCAAACCTTCCACAGTTGGCAACGTCCTGGTAAATCTTTGCTGAACTATCTCCAGCTTGATAATATCCTTCCTATAACTGGGTGACCAGAACTGGACCCTTTATTCCAGAAGAGGCATCACCAATGTCCAGTACAACCTCAACATGACTTCCCCACTCCTGTACAGGAAGGACTGAGCAATGAAGGCAAGTGTGCCAAGTGCATTTTTAACAATCTTGTCTATTTGTGATGCAAACTTCAAAGAATTATGTACCTGCACCCCTAGGTCCCTCTGTTCTACAACACTACCCAGGCCCTACCATTAATTGTATAAGTCCTACCCTTGTTTGTTGTACCAAAATGCAATAACTGGCATTTATACAGATTGAACTCCCCTGCCATTTTTCAGGCCATTGACCCATTTGATCAAGGTCTTTTTGTAATCTTAGAAAAGCTTCTTCACTATCTACTATACCAACAATGTTGGTGGCGTCCACAAACTTATGAACCGTACCTTCTATATTCTCATCCAACTCATTTATATAAATGACAATCAAAAGAGGACCCAGAACCGACTCAGCAGAAAACCGCTGGTGACAAGCCTCCAGTCCGAAAAGCAACCCTGTACCACCACTCGCTGTCTCCTGCCGTTAAGCCAATTATGTAACCAATTGGCAAGCTCACCCTGAATCCCGTGAGACCTAAATTTATTAATTAGTCTACCATGTGGAACCTTGTCAAAGGCTTTACTAAAATCCAAATAAACAATGCCTATTGCTCTGCCATCATCAATCTTTTTGGTAACTTCCTCAAAAGTCTCAATTAAGTTTGTGAGACATGATTTTCCTTGCACCAAAACGTTGCTGACTGTCCCTAAGCAATTTTTGCCTCTCTAAATGTCCATAAATTCTATCTTTTATAATCACCTCCGACAATTTACCCACAACCAAAGTTAGATGCACAGGTCTGTAGTTCCCCGGTTTCTCCTTACAATCTTTCTTAAACAAAGATACAACATTAGCTACCTTCCAGTCATCAGGCACCTCGTCCATAGGTATAGATGATGCAAATATTTCTGCAAGTGGTCTCGTAGGAAGGAAACTAGCCATCAGAATAAACGAACATCAGCTAGCAGCAAAGCAACACTTTGAACTTTCCTTAATATCAGTACACTCGGACAATGAAGGCCATCAGTTTAACTGGGACAACATAACCACAGTAGTCCAAGCCAAACATAGACATGCACGGGAATTCTCAACCTATAATGCAATCAACAAACATATAGAATTAGACCCCTCTACAAACCCATACTGAACAAAATCGGAAATGACACTAGTCACCATAATGGACTGGACAGTATAAATTCCAAGCAGAGTAGAACAACATCGGTTCATTGGAGACCTCACTGATGATGTTACATAGCATGGTGTCGAAACATCTGAACAAAAAAAAGCCAGGTCGGCGAGCAAGTCAACAACCTTACCCACAAATCTTTGCTAAAACATTATTCATTTTGTATCTCTCCCATCTCCTGGAGTTCAACACAAAGATGACCTCCTTGACCTTTAAGAGGCCCTACCCTCTCTCTAGTTACCCTCTTGCTATTAAAGTTTTTGTAGAATCTCTTTGGATTATCCTTTAAATATGCTCAAAGGCTAAGCTTCTTCAGCCCTCTTGGGAAAGACAATTCCAAAGATCCACCACTCTCTGAGTAAAGAAATTCTCATCTCAGTCCTAAATAGCATCCCTTATTTTTTAACTTGTGCTCCCTTGGCTCTAGACTCCCCAACCAAAGAAACATCTTACCTACACCTACCCTATCTATTCATTTGAGAATTTTGTAAGTTTCAATGAGATCACTGAGATTGTTCTTCAAAACTCTAAAAAACACAGGCCCAATTTGCCCAATCTCTCTTCAAAGGATAGTTCTGCTATCCCGGGACAAACCTTGTGAACCTTCATTGCCTTCCCTCTGGAGCATTAATACCTTTCCTGAGATGAGGAGACAAAAATTACACACAGTACTCCAGCTGCAGTCTAACCAAGCTCTTACACAGATGTAGCAAGATGTCATTATTCCTATACTGAAATCCTCTTGCAATAAAGGCTAAGATACCATTAGCCTTCCTAATAGATTACGGCACCTGCATGTTAGCCTTCACTGACTTATTGTCAAGGGTACCCAACTCCCATTCAGATCTAAACTTTCAAACCTCTAATCATTTGAGAAATTCTATAGATATCTGTTTTTCATGCTGAACTGGATAACATGCACAGATTCTAGCATTTTTCCTGCTACTGATGTAAGTCTGATGGGTCTGAAGCTACATGTTTCAATGCAGTCTCAATGCCTGTATCTGACAAAATTTCAGTGAACGTCTAATAAAGTCCAAGGGGAGGCGACGGCCTTGTGATATTATTGTTGGCCTGTTAATCTGAAAACTCAGCTAATGTTCTGGGGGTCTAGGTTCAAATCCTGCTGTTGTGAAATTTAAATTCCACAAAAATCTAGAATTAAGAATCTAATGATGACTATGAACCATGTGCCATGTCTGATAAATTCTCAGTGAGCATCTGATGTGGTGTCAGTAGGCATTTGATTTGATTTTTATTATCATGTGTAACGAAATACAGTGAAAAGCTTTGTTTGCGAGTGGTACGGGCAGATCACAGCAAGCAAAGGATGTACCGATCAAAAAGACTTAGAGGCATACAGGTTACATTGAAGATTACGTTATTTGAGGCTAGATAAAAAACGAAAAAAGAACATTCTGAGGAAGGGTCACCAGACCCAAAACATTAACTCTGTTTTTTCCTTCACAGATGCTGCCAGACTTGCTGAGCTTTTCCAGCAACTTTGTTTTTGTTCCGTTATTTGAGGCTAGAGTCGATTCAGCAGTCTGATAACAGCTGGAAAGAAGCAGTTCCTGAACCTGCTTGTGCATGTGTTCAGGCTTCTGTATCTTCTGCCTGCCAGAAGAGGTTGTAGGAGAGCATTACCAGGGTGCGATGGGCCTTTGATGATGTTGACCACCTTTCCACGGCCACGAGCCATGTAAATAGAGTCTATGGATGGAAGTTTGGCTTCTGTGATCCTCTGGGCTGTGCACACCACAGTAGTTTCTTAAGGTCCTGGGCACAGCAGTTGCCATACCAGGCCATTATGCACCCGGACAATATGCTTTCAATGGTGCATCTGTAGAAGTTGGTGAGGGATCTTATGGACATGCCAAGTTTCCTGAGCTGCCTGAGGAAGAAGAGGCGTTGTTGTGCCTTCTTGATTGTTGCATTTATGTGGGAAGTCATTGGTTATCGTCACTCCAAGGAACTTGATGCTCTTCACTCTCTCAACCTCAGTTCTGTTGATGTAGATGGGGGTGTGTTCTCCTCCTTTCTTTCTGAAGTTGATGATCAGTTCTTTAGTTTTGCTGACGTTGAGAGATAGATTGTTTTCCTTGCACCAAGTCACCAAGACCTCTATCTCCCTTCTGTATTTTGACTTGTCATTGTTGGATATCTGTGCCACTACAGTGATGTCATCAGCGAACTTGTAGATGGCGTTCATTCAGAATTTAGCAACACAGTTGTAGGTGTAAAGGGAGTACAATAGGAGGCTGAGGATGTATCAGTGCAGTGTTAAGTGTTACTGTGGAGGAGGTGCAGTTACCTGTCCTCACTGATTGCAGCCTATGGGTCAGAAAGCTGAGGATCCAGCTGCAGAGGGCGGAACTGAGACCAAGGTTACGCAGTTTTGAGATCACTCTGGATGGGATAATTGTGTTGAACACGAAGCTGTAGTCAACAAGTAGGAGTCTGACGTAAGTGTCTTTGTTGTCCAGATATTCCGGGGATGAGTGCAGGGCTAGGGATATGGCATCCTCTGTGGACCTGTTACGTTGGTAGGCAAACTGCCACTTTTGATACAGGCCCAGCATGAGCGTTTCATACAGAAGCTTTTGATACCATTTCAAAATGAGTATTTGAGTGCAGTCAAAGTCTATTTGTATTACATGCTGACATCTCTTTTACCCACACGCCTCAAACAAACCCTACCTTCAGCTAGCCCAAGCTAGAAATATGTTGCTTACAATGTCTCATCATGCATTGGGACTGACTTAATTTGAAGGGGATTGCTTACCCTTTATTTATTTTCCTAAGTGAAACTGCTTCGTGATATTAATAGTTCAATGTTTCCAAATATATTAAAGAGATTAGATTAGTAACAAGTAACGCATTTGGTGTATTTCAAAACTGACATCGATCAATACTTTAATTTGTCTTTTTAACAGAATCAACAGTTTACATTCCCCACTCAGAATACACAATTGAGGAGGATACTGGTGAAGTGTTTATTCCTGTGCAGAGATCAGGTGATTTTAGCCAGGAGCTCATGGTCATCTGCTTCACACCGCAAGGTAAGTTTACAAATATTTACATTTCTTCCAAAGCATTATACAACCTTAAGGCACCTCTCACATGAATTACTTTGGATTGCAGGGTCTGTTATTTAGAAAGTATTGGTAGAATCAATAATCAGAAAAACGAGGAAGAGGATGGCACTAAGGATATTGTTTTTTGAAAAATGACCAGAGGAATGATAAGGAAGTTGAAGGAAAAGGAACAGTAAATTAGAAGTTTGGAAGAATCATATGGAGGTCTGTTCGAAGGTGTTTCTTATCCAAGAACTTTATCTTGACAACATTCAAGAAACATGTGTTTTCATGTATATTCACATATAATGACATGTGTATCAGTGAATCCAAAGTCTCGATGCTCCCTGGAGCACAAAAGTAGAAAATCAATTAACAGGAGCTGACCAGAGGTGAGATGGAAGATTTGTGTGGATGAGGATCACTGCTGGCCAGATTGAAAAGCATGGCTTCTCTAGCATTCAGCTATTTCTTCTGTGCATGCAATACAGATTAATAAAGAGAGACTTGCTAGGTGGAATTCATTTGTGACCTCTACATTACATTGTGAACATTAGAAAAAAGCTGAAAAACTTTGTAAATACTACCTGAAAACGTTGATCTGGCTCTTGACATGTTAGGGGATGCTACTAATGCTGAAGGACATGGAAATTGAGAATGCCTTGATGCATCTGACATCACTACCTTACCATACTGTTACTGGAGTTTTAAATATGATTCTTTTACTGGAACACTTGCATGTTTCAACTGAAGACTACTAGTTTCAATGTTGCATGTTTTTTTGGATTAACTGTCAAGATTTTTCACTACAGTTATTTAACTGTATAAATCATAGCTTTACATCAGCAAAATTCCTTTATTACTATCAAGAAGCTTTATTTTCTTGTAGTTAAATTACATTGAGCCTGTTTGAATTTGGGCTTCATTAAACTCAATGTAGAACCAAAGGGGATCCCTGGATACCTTTTGGACATCTGATCCAAATAGAAATACTTAAATCTATCAATTTTCAACATCTTTATAAAGGACACTACAAAATGGCATATATTTGATGAAGGCTTTTGTGCAACAATAATTAAAGTAACTGTAGTCCTAGAGAAATATATAGCTCCTCTCTCTTTAGAACATTGGAGCAAGAGTAGGCTATTCAGCTTGTCGAGCCTGCTTAGCTGTTTAATATGACCATGGCTGATCAAACACTTCATTGTCTTTTATGCACTACAACAAAATGACAATAGTGAGAGACAACTGGAGGTGAGTTGAATTTGAGAGTTATCACACCTCAGGAAAATGTTGGTGTTGAAAAGGCAGAATCTTCATGACATAGGAACTGAACCCACACCGTTGGCTTCACTCTACACAACAAACCAGCCATCCAGCCAATGGAGCTAACCACTCCCCTAGCCAAATAGCTAATTAAACTGTGTAGAGTTTTGTTTTGGATTAAAATGAATACAGGTCATTTAGAAGGAATCTTCCCTTTCTACATTATGTTATTAATAGTAGATGAGTCTTGTAGTGTTACAAACCATAAGGCAGTTTTTTAAAAATATTTTTATAAGTTATAACTGCCTTCTCATGAAAAGTGCAATACTTTTTAACTTCTACTTGTTTGTTGTGACAACTTATTTTCATCTGTCACAGTGAAAGTCACGGAGCCAAAGGTCAACCAATCTCCTCCGGCAGCAGTGGTTCATTGGGGAAAGCATTTCTCTAAGTGTTGAGGTCATAGAAAATCTCAGTAACAGTTTGCTTCCTGCCCATGAGGGTCAGGCTGCTAGACCTGCCTGTTTGGTTTACTACTAGACGTTGATGTGTTTAACTTTCTCAGATCAACTGTTTTACTTTCACTTTATTTTGTACTTCCCTCAGAGTTTGAACTCTTTCTTTCCATGCCGACTGACAGATTTGTTTTTAGAATGTATACATACCTAAAAACTGATGGAATGGTCCTTGTTCAAAATTTGTTTTTTTTTCCCTTTTTAGAAAAACAAGAGAGCTTCCCACAGCATCTATTATCAAATTAATATCTGAATTCTTTCATAAAAAGAAGTTCCAGTATTCTTTACATTAGACTCCTCGATAATTTCAATTTTTATAAAATATAAAATCTCAAATTTAAAAATAGTTATTCATAATAATTCGAAAATCTTTTTTTATTGTGTAGTCTAAATGTATCAAATGAAGTTGATGTAAGTGCACTTGCATCACATTTGCTTGACCGTCACAAGCTCAGGCTGGTCCTTCGAAGCCACTGTATCATTTTGAGGCAGGACGACCACAGCCAGCCTGACCAATCTCACATTATTTCCATTTTAATTGAAGGCTTTCATGACAATCACTGATCACACATTTGAAATATGATAGGTACAAATGAGAGGTATGTTAACTGTTTCAAGTCGTAGATCAAATACAAAAGCATTGCATTATGATGAATGTCAGCACTTCAGAATATGAAGGAACACATTTAAATTGTCTGTTTTTTAACTATTTAATATTTGCAGGATATTTTACCTAGCTGTGGATAAATAAATTGGATATGACTCAGTGCTGATCATAATCTCTTCCATTGTTTTTCTCTTCACTTTCACTTCATTAAAACTAAACTTAAGAAAAGAGGAGAAAGTTCTGAGAACAAAATTCCCATTGCAGCACAAGTTCTCTCAGATACTATGGTGGAATTTGCCATGGCTGTCAAATATGAGCAGGGTTTCAGATGAGATAGTAGGAACTGCAGATGCTGGAGAATCTGAGATAACAAGGTATAGAGCTCTAGGTCCGAAACGTCAGCCTTCCTACTCCTCTGATGCTGCTTGGCCTGCTGTGTTCATCCAGCTCTACGCCTTGTTATCTCAGGGTTTCAGATGAAGTTGTTAGCCATAAGCTGGCCTCACTTTTCCACCTTGAAATAGAAACTCCAATTAAAAGGGATTTTTTTCTCAGTTGCAGAACATAAACCAAAGAAAGAAAAAGTTCAAGAAGAAGCTGCTTAATTGTGAAAAAGAAGTGAAAGTGATGAAGTCCATCCAGTTGTTTTCTTTCTTTATCATAAAGAATACAATAACTCTTAGAATAAACGTTCTGTATAATTCAAATAATACAGTCTTGCCCCAACACATACCTCTGTATATGGAACCTAATGAACAAGAATGGTCAGTAAAAGGAGCTCAACACTAGACCCAAATGACCCAGAATCTTTCCAACTCACAACGTCAGTCTATTCCTACATAACAACAGGTACTATAGTCCAGAAAAGATTTAATTGACTGGTTTTTTGAGGTTGTGAAAATGCACAAGATAAATTCAAGTTCTTTTATGCAAAGAAGACAGATTCAGATCTGGTGTGGAGCGATGATATGTATAACGTATTCATGTTTATCCTGCAGATACAGCCACGGGGACTATTCCAAGTACTGTCTTGTCCTATTCTGACTTCATCACCCGTCCGGAGGATCACATCAGTATAATTCGATTTGACAAAGATGAAACAGAAAAATTCTGTAGCATTGTCATCATCGATGATGCACTGTACGAAGAGGATGAGAGCTTCAACATCACACTCAGCATGCCCATGGGTGGTCAGGTTGGCAAACAATACCCCACCTCTCATGCCATCATTCTTCCAGTTATGGCTGATGGTAAGTAATACATGCTTACAGTAGTCCTGCCAGTTATCCTGCTTTCCATTGAAATTATCTTACATTTGCCGCAAAAAAACACAATTGGTCAACAAATGAATTGATTGTTAACCGGAAAAACTGTATGCTAATTAGAATTGAAGGTATTTTCTCCAGCAGGGGCTTTACAGCTGTGTATAAGCAACCAGATATTTGATAATGGGAAGCAATATCATTGGTTTGTACTGGAACATAAATGGAAGGAAGATCAAAACAATCTTGGCTGATACTGAACCTATCTTGTTAAATCACTTTTGTCCCACATCCTTTTGTCCCTTAATATCTTTGGTCAACTAAAGTCTCTCAATCTCAGTTTTCAGTTAAAAATCAATCTTGCCGTTCTATTTTATCTCCCAAGCCATACTTAATTTTTAAAATGTTGAATTTCATTCAAACCTGCTGGAAATGATATATAGACCAAGGGGTGTGATCAGGAATTTGGAGACCCTGATGCAGTCACTGTGGATTGGAGGAAGTGCTCCCTGGCACAATGGTAGCATTGTAAGGTGTCAGAGATGGTGTGCGGAATGCAAGCATGTGGGGGATCAATTATTTTCAGGAAAGAGGAACAGGAGGCCTGAGCAGAGACCATGGTATAATTGTGGGGCTTGGAGGAGTGCTGTTGGCCCTCTGTATCAATGAGGAAACCAGTATAAGTTTTTAAACTCTGCCTTGCTGTGCCATTTTTTTTGACATGAACCCAACCCAGATTACCCAGGCATGTTTGGCACTGAGTAAGAGTCACACAACTAAGGATTCAGCTAACATTGGAGACTAAGTTGTGTCACTCATCATCAAATTTTGAACATTTATGAAGCTCTTGCATGCAAATTGCAAGGCCTTCATGAGCCCCATGAAACTCAGGAATGAAGGCATTAGTTGATGACAATGTGGTACGAATTGAGAAGGAATCTGCCCCTATTTTAATACTTTATAAGCCCTATTCTCATCATATGCATGAGCGTGGTGGGTCACAAGATCAGCTGGGAGTCTGTACTTTAACTGGGGTGTTGTTTGGAAAGGAAATTATCCAGCTTTTTTCATTGGCCCTAAAAATAGCTTTTTACATGACCGGACATCAATTAAAGCTTGAGAAACTAATTGGTTAGTATTGTAAATCACAACTTAACTAAGGGGTACAGATAAGAAGAAATTACTTGAGAGGATGTCTGTACAGTTCTTGGACATTCAAGTCAGCATTATGAAAAATACAAAGATTGGTTAATATTTAAAAGCAACATTATGTAGTCAGTCCTATGTCTATAGGATGACTGTGCTCAAAAGCAATTGTCACAATTTATTCAAACTACAAATCACAGGAGACTGGAAGTTCCAACTACAGCACAGTTGGGAAAAGTACTTCAAGTGTTTGAATTGTCTAAGTGTAGATTGTACACTTTGGTGGGAAAAAACAGAGGTGTAAACTATTTTCTAAATGGGAAAAGCCTTCAGAAATCTGAAGCAGAAAGGGACTTAGGAGCTCCAGTTCAGGGTTCAGTTAACGTTAACATACCGGTTCAGTTGGCTGTTAGGAAGACAAATGCAATGTTAGCATTAATTTCTAGAGAGCTAGAATACAAGGACAGACATTGTTGAGGTTCTATAAAGCTCTGGTCAAAGTGCATTTGGAATATAGTGAACAGTCTTGGGTCCTGTGTCCAAGGAAAGATGTGCTGACATTGGAGTGCGTCCAGGGGAGGATCTCAAGAATGATCCCAAGGATGAAGTGCTTATCATGAGAGGAGCGGTTGCGGACTCTGGGTCCATATTCAATCGAGTTTAGAAGGATGGAGTAGGGATTGGTATCTCATTGAAACCTACAGAATACTAAGGGGCCTGGATTGAGTGGACATGGAGAGATGTTTCCACTAGTAAGAGAGACAAGTACCCGAAAGCACTACTTCAGAGTGAAGTGACAACCCTTTAGAAATGAGTTGAGGAGGAATTTCTTCAACGAGAGGATGGTTAATTTGTGGAATTAATTGCTGCAGATGGCTGTGGAAGCCAAGCCATTGAGTGTCTTTAAGATGGAGATAGGTAGGTTCTTCATTAGTAAGGGAATATAGGGTTATGGGGAAAAGGCAGGAGAATGTGATTGAGAAACATACCAGTCATGATTGAATGACAAAGCAGATGGGCTGAACGGCCTCATTTTGTTCCTATACCTTATTGTCTTACGGTGAACAGTTTGCCGAGGGGATCCGCAAAAGATTTGGCGAAAGAGTTAGCAAGGGGATCAGCAAGGGCCGGCTACAAACAGTTCACTGAAAGGATGAACAGGATGGCATGAAGTGGCCTGTTGAGGAGATCAACAGCAATCAGGTTGTTGAGTGGGTCAACGGGAACGTTGGCTAGAGGGTCACCATGGCGATCCATGGGGGGAAGGTGATGAGAGGGTCACTGAGGACATCTGTGAGGAAAGGAGTGGCAAGAGGATCACTGAGGGGATCAGTGATGGGGGTGTGGCGAGAGGGTTACTGAGGGATCAGTTTATTTGTATGTATCCTGGGAATCCATTTCTCATTTTAAAGTGCTCAATGTGATTACCTTACAATCTGCTAACCTTGAGGGAGTATAAAGCAGGTTCATGCAAGCTATTGCCAGATGGATCATGACTAGTGGTGGGAATAGTGACAGCATTAGCGGTAAATATGCCCATTCAGCTATGCAGCAACCTGAAAGGTACTATATGGGCTTTGTTCTGGATTAAGTAATGCATGCACCAGTAAGATCAAAAGCATTTAAAGGGACTATACATTTAAAAAAGGAGTAGACTGTGCACACCCACTAAATTTTGAAGGTAGCATAGGTTAAGTGAGGATGATCTGAGGAAACGCATTTGAAAAGGGTATCAATTTGCTGCCTCCATTTCTGTCATGTCATCAGTCTGCTAATACCCTGTGGAATTCAGAAGATTGTAAAGAAATATGACAGCTGCTAAATATGAATGTAGCCAATAACATCCTTGTCTTTAGAAGTGGAACCTAAGATATTGTTGGGGTTATTCCAGGTCAGAGATGCTCAGGGGGTGGTACTTTCTTTGAAGAAATTGTTCATGGCACGGTGGCACAGTGATTAGCACTGCTGCCTCACAGCGCCAGGAACCTGAATTTGATTCCACCCTCGGGCGACTGTCTGTGTGGAGTTTGCACATTCTCCCTGTGTCTGCTTGGGTTTCCTCCCACAATCCAAAGATGTGCAGGCTAGGCGGATTGGTCATGCTAAATTGCTCCTAGTGTTCAGAGATGTGTAGATTAGGTAGGTTTATAGGGTGATGGGTCTGGGTGGGATGCTCTGAGGGTTGGTGTGGAAATTTTGGGCTGAAGGGCCTGTTTCCACACTGTAGGAATTCTATGATCTATGAACTCAGCAGATAAGTGTTAGATATTTTATAACCAAACTGTTCAATGGTGTTATTAGCAGCTGCATCTGCAGCAGATGGAACTCAAACCCTGGGCCTCCTAGCTCAAAGGTAGGGAAACTGTCACTTTGCCACAAGAGCCCTAGCAGACAAGTTTTAAAATGAGCAGAATTCTATAGCAATATTCAGCAAGAAAATATCATGTAAAATATAAGCAGATTTCCTATTAAAATTAATCTTTGGCAAAGTTGCAGCAACATGACATTATTTCACAAAGTAACATGAGCAATCACCTCTAAAATTATGAATATGCATATATCAACACACCCTTGTTAGATGTTCATAGTTCAGTTACCTGTTCTAACTGACCAGAATTCAGTTCCTATTGTACATGAAATTAACTGCCAAGCTCAGTTACGCATTTTGACTTTGACAAGGATTTGTTTTTGTTTCTTATGTCAATATCTTGAGGTGTTCTGAAAGTTTCAGTGAAACCTGTCTGTTGTGCAGACCTTGCTTTCAAACATTCACTGCTGAGCATTGTATTTTCAACAATCAGTAGTTTAAACTTGACACTGCTTCAAAGAGCATTGTGCCAAGTAATAATCTATCTTGAAAATTCTCAGATTGAATGATTAATACAGAATTCTGGCAAAGATAAAGATTATGGGTGTCAGATTAAGATAATACATGTCTTCAGATTTGGGATGATTTAACAACAATGGCACCCTCTTTCCCCACCAACTGAATTGTGTTTCAGGATATTACCTTCCTTCAGGCATCATGTCTCTTGGTGCTCATTGCAGTGGCCTCACAAATGAGGGTGGCCAGTTTGAGCTCAGCGTAGTATGAGCTGAAGCTTCCATGTCACCAGCAGCATGAATACACTGCTCCATTTTAACATATGTAACTGACCCTTGGGTGTCAAAAGGCCACAATTTGAGTCTGACTGCTTAATTGCTACATTTTATTCATTCGTTTGTTGACAGATGACCAAGTTCCATGGCCTGCTTTGACAAATTTAGCAAGATTTTTTTTCCTGGCTGTCTATCATTGTCAGTGCCTTGTTACGGTGGAGACAGTTTGTTAAACTTTTAGATGTTGCACAATTTCCATTCTTAACCATATTGTCATTTGAAGCAATAGCCACAATGTCAAAGCTTAAATGATAAAATATATATCTTGAAAGCAGTTAATTACATTAACATATTAAAGGAAGTCCTTCTAAAATACCATACCGTATAGTACAATGTAGGCTTTTCATTTCTGGAGTTATTGATATCAGTCTTACTGAGTAGCTAAAAGTGTCACAATAAGAGGTTCTAAGTAAAACCAAAACAATTCACAATGTTAGTGGCAGGGAACTTGGGACAATATAAGTTACTTGTTAAAATAGATTGAACAATGGCCCTAGAAAGGAAATAGTATCAGAAAATGAATGAATATCATTCTACAGATTTAGCTGTGCTTCTACTTAACTGTATTGAGCTTTGCAATTTACCAACTATGAGAAGACATGGTCCTTAATCCATAATAGGCTTTAAAATTAATGGACATCTAATCAGCAGTAGAGAGGTTGAAAAGTTTTGGTTCATTGAAG